CGTAGGATATAGGTACGTTGCGGACGCTGCACGCCAGAGTCCTTTAGGCTATTCGGCCGCGGGTGAGGTGAAAAGGAAGGAAATGAAAAAAAGAAATACAAACCGTGTGCAGAGAAAAGCGAAAAAAAGGGGGGGATAAGCCTCTGGAGCGTCGGTGGAGCGGCAGCAGAATGGAATTGCGAATGGCACGTACGGTACGGGTGGTAGGCGGGCAGGGGGAAGGGGATCGTTTCGTCCAAGAGCACATCTCCGGTTGCAGTTTAAACTTAGACTTGTGATTGGTGGCACAAAGGGACTGAGTACTCTTGATCTGCTCTAGTACTAATAGTATTTTTCTGGAGGTGAACCCTGTTTCTTGGCATCCGATAAAGGATTAAGAGGTCGAGCTGGCGCCGGCTTGTGCCTAGGAAGGGCACCGGGGCACCGTAGCCCGGCCTGCCCGTAGGCCGTTCCGCCTTTCAGCCGCTCCGTTTCACAACACTGGAACTTCAAGAATGATTAGTCCGAGAATGTGTCTTCGTCTTACCTAAAAGAAAGAAGTGACATTATTTTACTCTTGTCCAATTAGAGTGACCTTCGTTTTTCTCGCTCCATTTGAGTGATTATTCTTCAACATCGTTCAATTTGAGTGATTATTCTGGAACATCGTCCCATGTGGGGGGCAAATTTTGAATCGTCGCTCTTTTTTCAGCGATGCGTTTGCCATTCAAATGGAGCGATGTTACAAAAATCATCACTTGGTACGACTCAAATAGTGTAGAGAGACGAAAACAATCGTTTCGCTCACGAGGAGAGTGAAATTACGCATTTCATCGCTCCCCCGAGGGAAGTACAGGAGGTTCTGTATGGATTCTGTCTCTGGGTTCAGAACTTTTAAATTAAACTGTAAACGAGGAAACGCTATGCAATGTGCAGCCTGGGCACAGCTCAGCAGCAACAGCTACTTCGGAGGTTTGACTAGGCGGAGAGCAGTCGTGCTCATCACACATGCTTGGGATATTGTGAGTTTGCAGGTGAACAAGCATTCCGTCCTTGCTCGTCTGTATCTGCCAAACTCTCCTCCAACTCTGCAAAATACTTGGGGCTCTGGGAACCTGATGTAATCTGTACAGTAACAGCACCCCGCCGGGGTGCACGCTTAATGGCGCGCATCATCCCTTGATCCACTCAACTAGGTCTGCGAAATGTTATCGGACGCAGGATCGGACTGAGGAATATCAAGTCTATCAAATTAATCATCACGATAAATTATTAAATTCTTTACTCAGTCCAAAATTGCCTCAGAAATACCATGGTACCCGCATGATCAAAGCGTCATGGGGTACCAGGTTTCCAATGGACTCTTCGTTGAATAGATGGGACTGACCTTCTTTACCGTGGAACCATCAGACCCTCATGGGAACATGCTACCATCGCATATGGTTTCTTTTGCCATAGAGCATGGAGTTCCCACTCTATCATGCACAAAGAGAATCCCAAGGAAATGCAGAAAGCTGCAAAATCTTTGTTCATCGGAATATTGGCCTGGTGTGCAGCATCTACGTCAAAATTAAGTGGGAGCATTTAAAGCATATTGCAATCGGAGCCCTATTTTTTACCGTCTTATAAACGGCTTGCACTCTAAAAAAAATCAGTGCAAAATTTTGTAACATTGAAGGGAAGTTTTTTCAGTAACCAGATTACAAATTTTTGTAACATAATTTGTTACAAAATTTTGTAACATTGGGTTATAAGTATTTGCATCTACATAACAAAATCTTGCATCGTTTAATGTTACAAAATGTTGTACCCTCTGCGCTGCAAAGCTCTATACCAATGTTACAAAATTTTGCGCTCCCCATGGTGCAAAGCATTATACCAATACTGCAAATTTTTGTGATGATTGTTTCGATGTATTGCATCCATGGCACTCCAAAAAATTGTGCAGGTATCGTAAAATTTGTGTCTGGTTTGATATAGAAGTTAAGATCAATGTTATGCACTGCTGTACCATGAGACATTAAAGTGAATGTATGTAAAGTTAATGGATAGGTTCAATAAAAGCCAATACTAAGTATTCAATTAATAATTATTAACCTTGATTGCAATCCAGTACAAGAGAAAAATCAAAGTTACAATTCAGATACAAGATAAAGACTAAAGCCTGTAAAGTTTTTGACAGTAACAAAACTGGAATACATTTAAAGTATATCCAAAGGCTAAAGATGAAAATTCATAAAATCAAGTAAATTTCATAGTTAATTTCGATTTTACACAATCAGTTAAAAATTGAAATTAGATTTAAGAAATTAGTTCAATAAGTTTAAATTTAGTTAAAAATTGCAATAAGATCACATGCATCACAGTAGTATGGCCAGAGCCAATAGTCAAACACATTCAGTTTCAAAATTATTTAGTTAGTGCCTAATGTCCAGTGGCACGTATGGTGGGTCAATTGATTTGCAAGTCTCTTCACTTTGGAGTCCACCCCATCTATGTACCGCTTCTTTACAGCCCTCTTGTCACCGTCTGGGGGATTGACTTCAAGGAAATATCTATAAGGAAACCATAGATAGGAATAAAATCTTGTAATAATGGAATACAATAAGTTACAACAAACTCATATAAAACAGAATAATGTACTAACCTTTGGTAGAATTCCAGGGAACTGTGATTTGCTGGTTGATATAAGCAGGTGAAGACAAAGTAAGAAAGAATTAAAATGAGGAATCCCTCCAGAGGGCTAGATGCTGTTATCTTCAATTGACCCACCAACACAACATCACAGGAAGTGAATTCAAAAATTGATTTGCCTGTAAAAGAAAACCAATTAGTACCAAAATAAAGTAAAATGTGGTGAATACAAAAATTTTAACTCCAGATTAAGCTTAAATTACTTCATACTACTGTTTAGGAAACAAAAGATAAAACATAAATTAAAAATATGAACTGATATACATCACCTCTTATGACCAATATGGGGTATCCATTCAGATCGGAGCCAGCAGCAACTACTTCCTCTTCTGAAGCAGTATCCTAATAATGAAAAAAAAAAATGTTATTGTGAAAACATTGGGAACACAGATTTGCATGTGAACAAGTGATGTACTTACAGGAAGAAGGGCAAATAATTTGTCAAGCTTCTCATCAAGGTATAGGGCAATCATCGGAAACATTGAAATACATCTCGCTTCTATTGACCTGTTACTCTGGCTCTGGCTCAGTGCTTGTGTGACAAGAGACATCATTGAAGTAATTTTTTGAGGTACAACTTCTTTCTTTGATTCTGTTTCACTATATTGATGGATGAAATCAAAGATAGTTTTCCAATGATTACCAACATTGTTGTTGAACACAGCCTCAACATCTTTACCAAGCAAAGTTTGAGCATGTCTGATAAAATGCGTCTTTCTAAGCAATAGTGGCCAGCTTCTTACTACAGTTGGAAGATAGACTTTGAGGGGCTTACCCCGGTTTATATCAAGACGCTGAGTGGCATATGTTGCCGCCATCAGTGTATCGGCTTCTACATCTTCTCGGTTTTCCAACTCAACAGCCTGAAGTCTTTTCTCCTCTTGAGATGATGTCGTCTCTCCGAAAGGTAGGGGCACCTCATAAGCCACACAGCCGTACAGGTCTTGTTTGGATGGGGACGGAGGCAAAAGACCAAAATCTCCATCTTCTTCTTCTTCACTTCTTGAAGAAGAGCGTGAGCCCCTTCTAGTCTTGTTTTCTGGCCCCTTATTGTGGTTTACATAACCATAAATACACTGGGTAAAAGATTTATAGCCAGGGTCAGACACAGCACTCCCGATAACAACTTGAAAAAGTTTAGAGTATCTGCCTCCATCATAATCAATAATTTGTTGCGCCAAAGCTCTTGCTGTCACCTTCCTGTAGTCTTTAAGTTTCTTTAACATGTGCCTACCAACGGCATGGCAGGCCTCACGAACAGCTCTCTTCTTAATGGCAAACATATTCTTTGGGGGGTTATTTGAATTCAACCGCTCAAGAGCTTCGTCCAAGAATTCACACACATCTGTGATAGGGAATGCGAGCCTACGCCTGGCAACCGGTGTTGAAGTCTGGCTTTCAGAAGAAGAGGTGAGACTCTCTTCCAAACTATCAGTACGATCTACAACAAATTAAATAAATATTAAACAAAACAAATAGTACTACAACAGTTAAACATTTAACAAGCATGTTAAAGGTGCAAATGTTACTAACCTCTATTTAGCTCAGATCCCTGAGGTGTAGAGACATTGGGAGAGTGTGGGCTCCGCAGAGAAACATCTGTCCAATCAGCACTGTCCGTGAGCAGCATGACTTCTAGATGGACCTTGGCTTCTTTAGCTTCCTGAGCCAGCAGTTGAAATATACCATCATCATCAATCATGGTGCCATCGTTTGCTTGATAGACCTACAAGAATTTTTGAAATGATATTAGGGTTTAAGTAAGAAAATGAATAAGGGCAGTCTCATAATACTAAATATTCAACCTAACCTATTTGTAAGAAAACAGTACAGCAGTACTCACATTATAATCTCCTTCTGGAAGCTTCAGTTTCCTTTTCATCTCTTCTCTTAATTCCAGCAAATCCCCCGCACAAATAAACACTTTCTGGGAGCGGTCACCGGTTAGTCCCTTCTCAACAAACTTCGCCATGGCTAAAAACAGAAATGTAAAACATGAAACTTCTAGTAAAATGAACATGGTAAACATTAAAACTGCCAGGACGTGATAGTTCATCTCTTGCTCTCCTCTAGGGTCATTAAGGTGATGACAAAAGGCCAGGGCAGCAGAGGCCTAGGCTAGGCCAAGGCTAGGCCAAGGCTAGGCCAAGGCTAGGCCAAGGCTAGGCTTCTACTTTACAAGTGTTTCTCACGATTAACATCACGAGAAGTATGATCCTGTCACAGCGGCACTTCGAAAATAAATAAAGAGTAAATTCACGATGAAAGGAACAGCTCCAAATGCAATTAACTCTATGTTAACACATGGAATTGGGACTAGGTGCGAGGTTAGGAGGCCCATGGTACAGGCGTGAATCCCAACATTTGCATGGAAATTGAAGTGACTTACCTCAAATGCAGTTGCGAGATTAAATCCAGAGAAGTTCAGATGAGCACAGATCACACATTCCGGCACAATGGTAACGGGAATCATTTTACTCGAGTATTTGTACAACCGGCAAAAAGTTCAGACGTCACTTTACCGCTACCACTACCACACCACACGTCCACCACCACCACACTCCGCACCGCACTCCCCCTCTCTTGAACTCGAATCGCTTACAGCTGATCAGCTGATTGGCGAACACAGTACACTACAATTTTTTTAAAGATGTTTGCGTGTGTAGTTAAGCTTGTTTGCTGTTTCAATGTTTCCCTTAGATGTATTTCGGAAATCGGAGCACTTGATCTTTTTTTGTTGCTGTTTCGGCAGTGGTTGGCACCTTCGGTGTTCATATGTTTGGCTCAAACTATAGGTAACGAGGTTATAAAGGACCATGATGACATTATTAGAACTTAGAAATTGCAATCTTGGTGTGTCTGTCTGGTCCCGTGATCGGCTCGGCTTGGTACCTCACAATTGCTCCAGCTACATAGCGGTAAGCATCGTTATGTTGTTTCATGTAGAGCCTGATTCTGTGAAATTGTATGTTGTATGGCCAATCTGAACCACCAGTCAAGCACAATAATTTATAGTTTTTGTTATCCCTTCAGGAATGGCCTCCACAAATCTTTGGTTGTGTGGTTGTTTTGTGGAAACCCCAGTCAAATTTACCTTCAGGGATGTTCCCCTGACATTTCAGCGCAAGACTGGAGGTGACATTTTTTGGTTTCGGAGAACTGCAACAGGTCCTCTTGAAGTTGCTGTTGTGCTGGGAGTTGGCGGTGAGTGCAAATGTTAAGTTGTGTGGAATGCTTAGTATACTTGTGGGTTTAACCTCAAGTGTGTATTTGCTGATTGAGGTATTTTCCTGATGTAAGTGCTAATAACATTAATATACGAGGTCATCACAGACATCTAGTTGTGATAACGCCAAAAGTTCTGAGGGACAGTTCATTTTATTGTTCATGCGCACACTGGTACAAACACATGCTCCCTGAAAGTTGAATCTTTATTAATATGACCATCTCTTTTTACAGTTACCAAACATGAAGCAAAAGTTAAGGCTAATAACTACTTCAGGAGAATTGGCAGAATTCATGGTTTTGAAGACTCGTTACCAGTTCTAGAGTTTGAATGCACACAAGAAACTCAATGTAAGTTCTTTCTGTAATTTGCTTTTCTCACTGATATGTTATTGTGATCATTATTTTCACCATTATGCGTTCTTGTTATATTTCAGTTTCTGAAGATTTGTAACTTGGCTTTTATTGGCTTTTATTGACTTTTATGTATCTAAATGTAAATCTCGAAGTATCTATTTAGTTAGTTAGCATGACGCGTCCCAATTGAAGTGATATGACCTTTCAAAAAAGTAAGCTAACTGATGTTTTGTATTTCATTGTTGAATCTGTTCATGAACATTGTCAAGAGAATTTTAATGCTCGATTTGAATGTGAATATATCTTTCCTATGTTTTTAATTGTATGCGGTCTTCCATTCTATAATGTGCCTTTCATGTCCCAGTACATCAAGTTAAGTTAGCCACAAAGCAACAGACGTATGAAATTTTCAATTTGGCAAAAGCTCTTTGTCTCTCTAATATAACACAAATTTGCAATAGATTCTTCAGAAAATAAGGAATCTTGACATCTGCAAGCTGCAATACTGACAAGATAGACTTAGATAAGAACTTACTGATGCACAGCTATAATGCTAAGAATTAGTTTGATGTTCAGAGTGCAGGTGCCATAAGCATTATAAAGAAGAGCTATTTTAACAAAATACCTTAACAAATGCACTATTTTTCCTTAACCATATGGCTATGGCTTTTCTTAATCTTTTCACGATCTTTAATCAACAATTCCTTAGAATAAACTTATCCCCCAATAATAGTATTAGAGCCCTTGGCTAGAAAATGTTAAATATCTGTCCAATAAGGTGCCAGATTTCATATTGGTTCCTAAGCCAAGTCATTCTGATCACTCATGTGGTTGGGAATAAGCAATAGGCTACAAGGAGTAGATAAAGTTTATAGTAAATCTGATTTTGTATAAGTCAGTAACATTTTCTTCAGAATGTATGTTTATTGACAGATTTTACGATACAGAAGTTCAGTCAGTTTTAGATTTTAAAAGAAACATGCCAGATTACTTGAAACAACCCATATTCGAGAGAAATGCATATGTAACTAATATGATTTACAAAATAGCAAATAGTTATCTTTCAACTTAAAAACAAATAATTAGTTCACACATTTCACTACTAAAATTCAAAGGTAAAAATATTGATAAATAAATACATGAATAAATACCACAGAAAAGTGGACAGTCCATAACAAATAAAAGATTAAAAATAGGAATGGCACCTATACTTAGGCTGGTCTACAAACAATAGCATGTTTTAACTTAACATAAGAACCCAAGTAAACTTTGTGAGGATAGTATGTCAGCAGCTGGTCTGGTTTCACACAAGTAAAATATTGTGGTGTTCCTACACGGTACAATCTTTTTTTAATATCATAACTCGTCTCCAATTTTTCACAAACAAAATATACAGTGTCTTGCGAACAATCATATAGAATGATGGAAACTCTTCCCAGAGAAAGTTTGCAATCATAACTGTCTTGGTCAAGAACAAGAATATCAGACTTCTTGTATATTGTTCCTTTAATAATAGCAATCTCACACTGTTGCAAGTCTGACACATTTGGGCAAACACTACGAATTACATTCTGAATACTTGCAGCATATGTCTGTAGGCAAAGATCCGAAGCACCAAATACTTCAACCAAAGCTCTGAAATCAGCTCCACTCCGGAGGTAGCACTGCAGCAACTCATGCTTCATGGTGAGAGACAGCAAAATATTCTTGAAGTTACGGATGACACGTGCAACTCTCTTAAAAAAGGTATGCTTGGATTCAAATCGTAACGTCCAAACTTTTAACATTGGCCCAAACATGGCGAACTGCCAGGCATAGTGGGAAAGGTAATGATGCTTAGGTCTTAAATTGACATGAGGAAAGAGTTCCACTCTCATGGTGAGATATTCATCTATGATGGTATGAAGATATGGGAGATGGCTCTCATGAATCACTGGTGAACAAGAGATTTCAAAAATTTCTGTCAACAGAATCAATGCTCTGAAAACTTCATTGTCCTCATCTATATAATCAAAAACGATCAAAGGAAATAATCTCAACAATGTCCAAACTTGCCACGCTCCACCCTTGATTCTAACAGAGTCTTCTTGAACAGGGATGGGTCTATCTTTGATGTCTTTAGAACAATAAGGAAATGATGAAATGGCTTCATTCAGCTCATGATATGTAAACCATTCTGCTTCATTTACAAAGAATTTGATAAAAAGAAATAAGTCAAAAGCCACTAGCCCTTCAGCCAAGTCATGCCCTAAGCAAGAAGGAAGCCCAGGCTGGCACACATGGAATGCTTTAAGTTGATTGAACACAGAATCAAACTTCACGCCTTTATAGTTTTTCTTGTCTCTTGAACGAGATGCCATATGAACACAAAAGTTGTAAGATGCAACATTACGCAGATCAAAGCGGGCACTCTCACCATCAACTCCAAGGAAAGTATTCCTGTCACAAAAACAAAAGCGACAAAAATACACAGCTTTGCTGAAATTTTCCACAAATCCACCAAGACCGTGACTGCCAAGGTTGTCCCCAGTAACACAAACAAGCCCAACTTTCACAAATCTTCCATCAGGTAGTTTGAGTCCTCGTTCTTCTAATAATTTTAGATCTTTAACAATTCTTCCATAAACAATTTGATGATCAAAATGTTTTTCCTTACATAGAGCCACTAACTTGATAGAGTTAATGTGTGACCGAAGATGGTCAGGTAAGTTCAAGATAGAAAGATAAATAGCTAATAGTTTGTGGATACGTTTGGCCGAGCCAATTGCATTGACAATTTCAACTCCATCTTGATAGATTATTATCTTGATACACAGGGGATTTTCTTGGAAAAATGTGTTATCTTTAAAAGCTTTCCCATCAGTGACGTCAGTCAACAACCCATCAGTTCTTGATAGAGGTGGTTTTAAATCCAAGTTTAAGGACTTATCTTTAGTGAATGAATATTGAAGAGTCTTTTCAATATCCACATAATAAAAGAATGTTTTAACATTGCTGGTAATGCCTTTCTTGGTAATAGTCTTGACATATTCAATTTTTTCAGGATTGACAAAATGAAATGCCTTCTTATAGAAGTTTTTACGTTTATGAGGAGTCTTCCAATTTTGATCATACTGCTTTGTAAATGGGTCATTAGCAAATGCATACTTAACAATGCGATTTACTTTGTCAATCGAGATGTTTTCAGACTGCAAAGTCTTCATTAACTCACTTCGATAAAACTCTTTGCTCTGAGATTGTATCTTAAATATTTCATCAACTGAAAATTGAACAGTCTTTTCAGGTACAAGGAAATGGAATTCCAACTTCATACAGAACTGAGCAAAACTCTTCATAAGGCAATCATCTTCACCTTCATTTTCATTTTGATCTTCAAACAGGGGATCAGTGTCAGTAACAGTAGATTCTGAGAACAAATCTTCCTCTTCATTACTAAAATTATTCTCAACTGCTCCTGCTTCAACCTCAGGAGTGACAGATGGTTTAGCACGATGTTTTTTAGATAGATGACCAGTGAATGAACCAAGATGGTTATATTCTTTAGAGCATGGATGATGAGGGCACTTGACAAAAACTTTCATGCGTATATGAGTCTTCAAATGTTTCAGCAGTTCAGGAAAACACTCAAACTCCTTTCTGCATGTTAACACAGAACAAAGGTATTTACCAAAATTATTTGGTGCTGGTGTTGAAGCTGAAGGTTGTGAATTCCTGACTTTGAGGTGATGGACACGAAGAGTGTGGAGTCTGAGCAGACGCTCTGTAGATAAAACACTTCGGCAGTCAGGGTAATAGCCACAGTAAAATCTGTGTCTATTAATGTGACGATGGTGATAATGGTGGCTGAGATGTTCCGTGAAGTTAGTCGTTGAGAACGTACAAAAAAAGCAGCGCAACTGGGCAGCTGTAGAAACCAAACAAAAAAAAAATAAAAATAGGTTATACAGCATGTGCCTTGCCAATCACAGTTAGCTCAGTCAAGTGTTGTAACGTCAGGAAAATAAATAATTCAATGAACTTACACATGGTAATAGGCTCACTGCTGGGCGTCTCTCTCCATGCAGCATAGTTAACATCAACACTGAAACCAAGAAGTAGAAATGAGTAACAAAGTTATTAATAATAGAGCAATAGCTGACAACAAAACACGACGCAGGCGCTATCATTGTTATCATTTATTTATGTATTGAAACGTTATTTCATTGAGGGGAGACCTAAACACTCACCACGTCTGCAGGATCACAATCCCGTACAGCATCAGTTGGAAACCCATGAGTTTCTGCCACGCATCGCCCGATTACGATGAACTGCAATACCAGACAAAGATGATACGAATAAGAAGAGGTCCAAACAAAAGCACAGTTTGATCACATTTTTAGACTCACTTCATTATCACGACCGCATGGAGACAAGCCCTCCCTGCGCCCGGGACACCGCGCAAGACAGCACGCACGCTGACAGCTCACAGACTGCGAAAGCGACTTCCCCACCCTGCTTCCCCCTCGCCTGACCGAAATTTTCATACCGAAAGAGACACGGACGGAATGGGGGCACATGGCGCCATCAGAGCAGAATTTGAACACTGTCGGCAACACATTTTAGCATCCATGTTGCGAAATTTCGTATGTGGTTACACAAATTTGTTGCGGGTGCAAGACTTTGTATAAAATTATAAGAAATAACATCAGGTTTACGATAAAGAGCAACAATGTTACAAATATTTGGTTCAGTTACAAAACTTTGTAACGGTTACAAAAACCTGCATCCACATTATAACAGTTTGTACTGCAGTTATAATTTTTTGTAACAATTACAAAATTTTGTCACAGCATTACAAATTTTTGCTACGGCATCCAAGGTTACAAAATTTTGTTCCAAAATTGATATTAGAACTTGTAACTTTTTTTAGAGTGTGAGCTAGGTAAAAACGGACAACGGGATTAGGCTTTGCCTCAATTCTGAAACCCACCCAGTATGTTGTATCAGATATGAATGGTTTGTCCCGTGTGTATGTTATAGGGCGCATCGAGCGAATCAGCCACCTATGGTATTCTATCCTTACTCTGTGAATTGTGGTTGAAAACTGATGGTTATTGTCTGATGCGTATAGTTATAATTGTCGGCTGTGACTAAATTTAGAATATTGTTTGGTGCGCAACTTTCAAGCCCAAAGTCGTGTTTCGTGTTTGCCGGGTGCAGATACACGTCGCGTTGATACGTGGGGGTTGTCTCTTCGGGAGGAGAGGGGGTTGAGGGGGGGGGGGCAGTGTCACGTATCGCGCGCACGTGTTTCCTCGTTAAAGCTATGGCAGCTGGGGCCATGGTGACGTGGCTGGCCACTGCTGGCCAGGTTTGCACAGGTCGTATCGCAGAAATGAAATAAAAAATTGCGGGAAAAGTTATTTGGGGAAAAAAGTAATTGACGCAACACACGAAAAGCGATAAAATCTGATAACAGTTTGATTATGTGTTCCTGTGCGCCGTTGCGCAAATCTGGTGCAATGCGAAACCACGACCCGTGCGTGGCCTCACGTGCGAGGTCCCACGTCCAACTCTGCCCATCTCGATTTTCACCCCTCCCCTCTCCGGTTCTGGTGCCACTTTCACCTCCCGTTGCACTCGCGTCTCTTCGACCGAGCGCACACCTGTTCAATTCCTGCAATGCAAAGCTTTGCAGAAGTGCGAGGGACTTCGGTCCTTTCTAAAAATACGAAGCATTTACTTTTGCATTTGCGAAGCAATGTTGGCGATGCCAGCAATGCTTTGCATTCTGCAAAGCATCTCTTCGCAATATCGCTAAACATCGCTTTGTATAATTGCAAAGTAAATGATTTCACAGTTACGAAGGAACACTTCGCAATTTTGCAAAGCAGTGTTCAACAGGAATTTAACAGTCCATGTGTTGGGACCGGTTGGAACTTAAAAGAAAACTGTATCAGGAAATTTAACAAAACATTGTTATAAACCTGGGCATTTGTTTTGTCATCTAAATATGTCTTTGTTTTGCAGGCGAAGCTACGCTGCCTAGCAGGCCCCGGCCGTGACCCGATGTGCGGGCGCACAGACATGGCGCTCCTGCAGTCATGCTGCTGCTGGCATTCTCTGCGCAAGGGAAGCTACGCCAGCGCCCTCTACACCATGGTAAGTGGCACTCGTTGTTTCTCACCGAACGGCCGGACGAATTTGCAGATTGGCTACATCTTTTCTTCGTGGGGAAGACCGGAGACTACTTACTGGGGAAACGATCCATCGTGCGTCATGCGTAGCTCAGAATTATTGAGGGAGGAAACCAAGTGTTCACACTAAATGCCGAGGGACAATGTTTGCACGTAGGCTTGTGCACAACCAGATAAAAACCAAAACCAGATGAAAATTTGTAAAGTTTTTTTTCACCATACTGTATCTAGTCAGGCAGGAGTACAACTTGTACCTCCGTACAGACAAATTTGTATAAGATCTGTACAACGACATCTAACCTGAGTACAAAACTTGTCCCTCCCCATTTAGAGTGTAGTCAGTGGTGCTGATGGATTTTGTTATCAACCGTTGCCTCATGAATATGAGTCATAGAGCGAGGTTTTGAATGATGAGAGAAAAGGGGAAGCTAGTGTGAGGTAAGTTTATAAGGTGTCTAGAGCTCTTTATTAACATTTTCCATATCCTTGGCCAAACTCTTCCGACATTTGAGAATCTCTGTCCACGTTTGGCACATATCGTCCTCGCAGAAAGCTTTCTTTTTCTCAGTGCCGCCCCTCCCCCTCTCAATGGCGGGACGGGACGACCGCATCACATATTCCGTAGATTGATCGTTGCTATATTTTCTCCATGCAAATCCGGAGTGGCGCGCTGTGCCGGGCCCGGCTCTGCCCCCTATCCATCGCCGCCACGCACCACGACGACCTGCCGCGCCAGGCGACACCCCCGCCAACGCGCCTCTCCGCCCGCGCGTCCTCCTGGCGCGGGCAAAGCTCTCTTTAAACGTGGAGACGACGTCTTTTCCTCCGTGGAAATGGTTAGGAATGGGGCTGGTGGTGGAGGAGGGCGGCCAAGTCCGAGGAATGCCCCCTGTGCAGGCGTGGATTGGTCTGGAAGATTGGGGGGAGGAAGAAGGGGGGGGGGGGGTCACTCCCCTTGAACAAACGTGAACGACAGCGTGCTTCACCCGTAGGGGCAGCTGACTGTTGGCAGCAGGGTGAGGAAGGGGTGTCGAAACGGTTGCCTATCGAGCGGGCGCTCGACCGCCCCCCTGCCGACGACTCACTCAAACACCCCAAATATGACCCGGCAGCATCTCCAGCCCCCCTCTCTCTGATATCAGCCGTGGCAATCTGATGCAAGCAATGGAGTCGCATAAATATTTACATAAAAATATTGACGCCATCGCCACGCGTCCGGGCCTGCCTCCCTGTGTGCGCTGGCCCGCGCCAATACATAACACTATTGTCGCCCGACCCGGGCCGGCGGGGCCGACGCGAAGGGACGGGGATCCCGGCCCAAGAAGAGGAAGCGCGGGACGCCCCGGGAAGCGGCGCGCCACGGCAGGGCTCACGCCAACATATGGGGGCGGGGGGGTCGCGTGCTGAGGGGGCGCTTGCCGGCGCGTTCAGTAAGCCCATGGCGCCCGGCCGGCTGAGCTGGGGCCTAGGCTGGGGCTAGGCTGGGCTGGGAGGGAGGAGGTGCGCGGCATACTGATGGGAGAACCGCGCCCCCGGGACGCACCGCGCCGCCGCACCACGCCATCCGTGGCCGTCTAGGCGATTTCTTTCTACCTTTATTCTCTAAACGAGTAACGAACGCTTGGAAATTGATGTTTTGTAGACAGTGCCCAAGACAGTCTTTCCCAAAGGGCAAAGTCCGCACTAGGGTTGCGAAATTACCGGTAACAATCAATGTTACCGTAAATTACGGAAAAAATCGTAATTTACCGGAAATTTTGGAAAAATTGGAAAAATTCAATTTGAAGCAGAAAAATTGGCAATATACTATTCCTTGGCGATCGAAATTCTTGTGTACTGCCTCAAAAGTGACGGAATAGCCGGTCTTAGCTATACTTATTGGAATATTTGTGTTTTTCATCTTGTTCTCATCAACATCAGTTAGTTACCAGAAGTAGCACCTATAAAAATCGTTATCTAAAGCTATGCCTTTTAAACTTCAGAATAATGACAAATTTGCTATCTGGTCTCTAAAAAGTGA